TTATATCGCTGGACGAATAATTCAAAGGTTGGTTTTAATAATTTTAATTAATACAATCACTTGCTTTGGTGTGGAAATAAGTATATCTTATTTTCTACCCTACAGTGTGTGTGAATGGGTGGATGAGAAAACATTGTAAAGCACTTTGAGTACCACGAAGGTACAAAGGAGATACACAAGTGCAGACCAGTTACCATATTCAGAGGATGCTCTATTCCTAAGCCCTTCTGGGACCGTGCTCATGGTGCTGTCAGAGAAGTCCTGTGTTACCATATTGAATTCACTTGCATGTCATTTTATTTAGGGATCATGGACCTAAACTTATCTAAAAGTGACAGATCTCCTAAAAATCTGTATGGCAGCGAGCAAAAAGTCTGTAACAAGGTGATGGCTCTGTAGGGAACCTCCTAATATCAACCAATGGGCAGTCATAATTACAGATATCCAGTGCATGGGATGTATGACTTTGGGTTTGAGAGTCCAGAAGGACAAATATGATGCTCTCTGGGAAAAATGGGACACGTACCTCACAACAAAAGCTGATAACCTGCTGTGCTTTTGATCTCTGGTCTATGAATACATTATTCTCATTTTATTTTAAGGTAGAGGTGTAGTGAAAGTGGAGGTGTGTTTAAGGTGGAAGTGTTTTAAGGAGGAAGTGTACATTGGGTGTAAGTGTTTCAGAAACCAGACTGACTTGAATGAAGCTACGCTGTCGATGACTCTCTCCAGACCCGTCTCCTTATTACCCTGAAGAGACACAAACACAGTCTGAGAGACAGACAGGTGCACAGACAGACAGGTACATAGACAGACAGGTAAGTGTCTTACATTTTCAGGCAGAGCCTTGATCAGCTCGCTGTGAGCCATTGGTCTGATTGACAGCTGATGGATGATTTCTCGTCTGACCTCATCGAAAGGTTCTACCTGGCCAACGCCCGCCACGTACCGCTCACCTGTAACCGACACACAAACTGCAGGTGAACTCACATGCTCCAGGTGTAGAGCCTGGACCTGATATCTTAGTCTCAGATGAAGACAGGGCAGCACAGATGGACTCACCGACAACCATGATGATGAGGTGGAGCATCTCCTCAATCAGAGTGTTCTGCTGGACCAGGTCCTGTGCAACACACAGTAGAATGTCAGTAGAGCATCAGAGTGTCTGTAGCGTTAGTCTGTCTGGAGAATGTCCGTTGTATCAGCANCAGCTCATGGTGGCAGCAGAGAGCATTGTGGGAGTTTAGCAGCAGCGGGACCATGACAGAGACTCTGAGGAGGTTCAGGACCTCCAACCAGAGCTGTTGTAAAACCAGCTAAACTGTGAGTAGACCATGGTCTGCTGTGTCAATGAACAGCGTCCCTGAGCTGTAACAGCTAACTGTATCAATGAAGCCTGTTATTGATTAATAAGTTATTGATTTAGTTTAACCCTCCTAAATATCAGAGTAGAAAATTGCTCAAAATACTAACTGGAAAAATACAGAAACACCAAATCCATCCTCACAGACACACAGGTGTGTGGGTACTGACGTGTGATCTTGCAGGTGTAGTTGAAGGTGATGTCGTCGTCTGCGCTGCTGTTCTCCAGCTGCTGCTGCTCCTCCAGTAAAGCCATGCCCACCAGGTGGAGTACCTGCACAGGTGTACATGGTAGACAGAATACACACAGAGAACATGCAGAGTACACAGTTAACAGGCCTTCCAGACTTCCTACGAAGCATTTCTGCTCAAAGGATGCCGCCCTCTGCAGGTCATTCAAATGTGAGCAGATTCATGAACAAAGCCCTCAAACCCTCTGAACTCTGAGCGGTTTGTGTCATTTTTCTTCACTGTGGCTCATGTTTCACTGCAAGTTTCTGGTCTTCAGTGATGAACACCAGCAGCCTGTTGGTATGAAGGCCGGCAGCTGAGGTGACAAACTGCAGTGAAAACTGGTGCTTCTCTTGCATCATGTGGTCGAACATGGTTTGATCCTGGACTGAGGTCTGTGGATGTCACTGGGTTTCAACTCAGCACTTTAAATACCACAGGCAGACTATTTACCAGCTCGTACTTCTATGAGGTCCAAACAGAACCTTACAGAACTTTAGAGGTCTGTTACAGCACAGCTGCAGGTTTGATATGTTTGAACACCTGCAGATAAAATCTTGTACCACTGAGTGACCTCCAGCAGTCGTATATTGTCCATACAGATGATAAACGCTGCAGCCTCACCCTCTGCAGCATGGACTCCGTCCAGCCGCCCCCGCTGGGCTCCACGGCCCACTGCAGCACAGCGCCCTCTACAGCCAGCAGCACGTCGCACTGCAGCAGGTTCACCAGGCTGCCGAACAGAGGACAGAGGGGGGGCGGGAGAGGGGGGGGCAGGGCTGCCGACACACAGACGGGTTACCACGGTGACCAGGTAAAGCTAACACTTGTGAAGTTAGAGGCAGAGGTGTTTACCTGTGTCCTCCCCGTTCTGTCTCCTCAGCTTCCTCTGAGCCTCCTCAGCCTGGAACATCACACACACATCGTTACCATGGCAACACTCAGTTCAACGCCCGCTCAACGCCCCGATCAATACTGCGATCAGTAGTACCTTGGACTGGTCGGCTCTGCTGTAGTGATGGAAGTACAGGTTGAAGTGTTTGTTCCACTCAGGACGCAGTTCATACAGACCTCGACCTGTCACACCTGGTTTCCTGTAAACGCAGTGCAAGTACACACAGTACTACAGTCACTACTGCAGACCCCGACCTGTCACACCTGGCTGGCTATGGTGTAAGTGTTTTTAAGGTGGATTTATAATAAAATGCAAGTGCATAGTCGAACTGGGAGGCCATTGAACAAACTATGAAAAGGCACCAAAGGACTGGGAATTGTGATTTGCCCTGAAAAATGGACAAACATAATTAATACACAAATTACAACTACTGCTTCAGATACATGAAGGGATTCCTCATGGTGTGTGAATGAGTGTTGTAGGATATGGACAGACACAGATGCCAGAAGGATTCCAGAGGCTTCATTTGAACTTTCCAGCATCCAGTCACATGTCATAAAAGACAGAACTATTCTGCAGGCCACAGGGTCATGTAAATCAGCTCTGCCGACTGGGGGAAGCCAGAGCCAGGACAAGCAGAGCCCACTTAGGACTTCCCTTATCACACCTATCACAGCTTCAGAGGATCGAACACACAGAAGCTTTTGGGGGAAGACAAAGAAAAACATTCAACCATGCAGACCTTAACAGATGGCCCAGATGGCCGGGTGCAATGAAGTGCCCCGGGCTTATCGTATTGCTCTGCTGACCCCTCATGTCCTGTGGCATGCAACAACTGAACTTATGAATGAACAATAGGACACAGTACCAGAGGATGTGCCTTATTATCTTATGTTAAGTTTAGTTGTTACATGTTTAGATATATCATGTCCTGATAAATACCCCAAAGCTTAATTACAGTTGGATAAGTCCTTCTTTAATTGATCAGCTTGTTATATAACCATATCCTGAGCATTGTGTTATTTCTGTAACCGTCAGAGACAGATTTATCATGTTTAGACTCCCCATGAAGCTCTACATGTGACACATTCATTTCCAACAAGCTTAACTTTGTATAATTGAAAGTACATATAGTTCTGAAGGAACATTATTACTTTCAGAGTAAACTCTGACCACCTCACGACCTCCCGGTGATACTGGGACGTCATATCTAACAGCCCCTCTGGGAGTGGAGCTCGCTCTGATTGGTCAGTAGGTTTACTATTAAAAGGCATTTCACCCGAAAGAGACTTTCTGAGACTTTCTAAAACTTTCTGAGACTTTCTGAAGACCATAGAATCTCCCACTTTGGTCCAATGTATCCACTCCAACTGCCACCCTGATCCAACTCAAGCTGAAGGCCTCGTCTCCCAACTCCAGACGCTGCTGCACCCGCCAAGGAACTGGAGGTATCAAGCTTCTGTCTCTAAACGGGTGTTTCATGATTACAATTGGCCTTCTGACCAATATTCCAAATTTATCAGATTATCTGCTGCTTCAGGTGAAAAGACTTTTACGTCTCCAGACCACCACTCTGTTCCACATCAGGTTTTCACACTCATATTCTCAACCAGCATTTCCATCATTGTTTGTATTTTATGTTTTATGTTTGTTGTTGTTATTTGTTTGT